ATTAATCTAATTCAATAAGTCATTAAATCATTTCTATATAGTGAAAATTCCCATTTTGCCATTTGGTAAATAAAAAAGGAACGAATTGAGCGAAGAAATTTCTTTTCAATTAGTTTTTCATCATGACTCTACACTACAACTTCGTGGATTGGTTGAAGTTAGACATTAACACCGTTGGATGCCGGCTCAGTGGTCTATTGGTTAAGTGCTCACGCGCGAAGCCAGTAGGTCCTGGGTTCGAGCCCCGCGTGGTGCGGGATCGTGGATGCGCACTGCTGAGGAGTTCCATACCAGGACGAAACGGCCGTCCAGTGCTTCCAGGTTTTCAATGGTGGTCTAGCTTCAACTGACTCATGATTTTAAAAAAAACCTGTGAAATTTCGTGATTTCTCCACAAAACCCATTCTGATAATAATAATCAACTGCTCACTAGTGACTGACTTCAAGAAAAGCTCCTGGAGTTCTAGTGAGAAGCCGTTACCAGTGGAGTTCAACCGGTCTGTTGTGAGATAACAACTCACTGAAGACAATGGTGTACGGTGGCGCAACTTCGTGGATTGGTTGAAGTTAGACATTAACACCGTTGGATGCCGGCTCAGTGGTCTAATGGATAAGTGCTCGCGCGCGAAGCCAGTAGGTCCTGGGTTCGAGCCCCGCGTGGTGCGGGATCGTGGATGCGCACTGCTGAGGAGTCCCATACCAGGACGAAACGGCCGTCCAGTGCTTACAGGTTTTCAATGGTGGTCTAGGTTCAACTGACTCATGATTTAAAAAAACCTGTAATATATATATATGTTTTACAATAATAATATAATACTCATCGAGTAGATACGTTACATAATAATTACATAATGACATTTAAATTAACATTCAGTAATTGGAAGAGAGAGGATTATTAATATTCAAAGTAATCAAGAAGTTGCTATATTGCGTAATATAAGAAACAAAGAAGGAACAGAATTTTAATGGATGGTCAATAGGATGGTAGTTACGTAAGAATCAAGAGATGAATGTTGAGAAGTTATTAAGTTCAAAGGCAACAGAAATAAAATTACAAAAGTTAAAAAAAAATGGAAGAAGTATGAAAAATAGTTCTTTTGAAGGAAATCTTAAACTGATGGTCAGGGCAGGGAAAGTGGTTGTACGAATCTCTTTTGGATGCAAAGGTCAGATCATGAATACATGAGATTGAAATTTAATAGAACAATATTATTTAAAGTTTTTTTTTTGTATAGTGGTGGTAACAGTAGGATGTACAATATGTGTTTTATCTTATTTGTGATTGATTTATTGAAATGTATCCGTATTTAAATATTGAGATATCCAATGAATACCTTTCTTTTAAGATATCAATACATTATGCAATAACCTATTAAGTTCAACTGCCTATATTATGAGTATGAAATTATCAGTAAGAGATTAGAATTTTGTTTTATTAATATTTAGGGTTGCAACTGGTCAATCTTTGTTTGAATATCTAAATCTAGCGATAGCATTTCGAATATCGGGTGATTACTGATAGCCTTGAATACTAATGATGCAAAATAACAAATTCTCTGTAAAAACCCTTAAACTTTTCAATTTTATTAGATTTCAATAGAACAATACAAAGATTACATTAATCTGAAGAATGTGATGTATTTGCGATATACATTTTGAATAATCTGATCATTCATATACTTCGCAGGGCATTTTTAGAAACTAACGAAGGTTATCAGTATAGGGTTGTGGAGGTTCAGTTTTTGATTGAAACCATGAATTAATCAATGTCAGACCGTTGAAAGCCTAGAAACAGTTGAAGGCCGTTCGGTCCCAGTGTGGGACTCCTCAGCATTGTGCATTTACGGTCCTGCACGCGGGATTCGAACTCAAGACCTTCGATCGCGAGAACGCTTAACATATAGGCCATTGAGCCGGATTCTAATTGTAGTGATAACTGTTGATCAATTGAAATAAATTGACTTGACTGCTCCTCTAGACAATAGTTGACAAACTTTAAAAGAATAGTGATTTAGAGACTCAGAATGTAAGGAGGATACAGAGTAACTATATCTGCAATATTGTGAACGAATTTGAGCCATGCGCCCTAGTCACCAACCATTGGTTACGAGAATCTTGTAGACCCAGGCCAAGTAGTCTACATCTGTTAACAATATGAATCAATTCAATTGTCAATGACTTTCATAGACTCACGTCACGTCTTAGAGTGGTGATGCATTACCCTCTTTCATACTACTATTATCACAGACGGGCGGTAGTTGGGCCTACGCAACACATTTTCCAACTAATTCTGTTGACAAGCATTCGCCACTCAAACGTCTGAACAATAAGCGTATCCTTTGATTACCAGACGGAGATCCCGCCCACATTCTAAGTGACACAAGATGGCGAAAGAAGACCTAACTTTCGAATACGTTTAGAGACTTCGTCAGTTAGCAACTCACGAGGACTAATAAGACTTTTAAAATAAGTGCTCAACTTCCTGATCTCACAGAAACAGTTTATGTGTTGACAACCAGTCAGTTCTACTTGAATTTAAATAATATTAAGGATAATACCAGTCGATGATGCAGATGAGTTGCAGATTGAACTAATTAAAATAAGTCAGTTTACCGTATCCAGGTATTCATTTATTACCATTCTTTTGTTCCATTCTTTTTAACCAACTTCTTGAACAAAAAGGTGACAATTTATTTTATAATAATAACAGACTATTTTTATTAAATAAATTTACTCAGGCAGAAATCTGAAAATCAAACCCATGAGATATTAAATGATAGATATTAAAAATAGTTTAACATGGATGTACCCAAATAATAGTTGATGTGTAGTTGAATTTAAAAACTTTTTTAACCTTGTTATATCCTGGTGAAGACTAAATTACGGGTAACTACTGAGAACTAATAATGGACTAATATTATATATATTTCTATTGTATGATTGTTTAGTAACTAGATTATGTATATCTGTATTATTCTGAGCTTCATTTTGACCTGGAGATTATTATTATACAATTTATTGTTTAGTTATGTTCAGTTTATTGATAACAGTCTTCCACGCTCACAGATAGTGTTTAGGCTTGATTTTGTGTAACTGTTATCTTTTATTTTATGGTGCGCTGCGGTCTGTTTGGCTGGTATGTAAACCAAGTATGTTTGAAATAAACAATTTGCTTAGTGGGAACTGTTATTGGCTTCTTGGAATCAAGTAGACGAGCTAAGCAAACAATGGATCAACAAAGACGTTAGGCTGCTCATACTGGTCTAGCGTAATTGGTTTAGCACAGTACTAAGATTGTATAAGTCGTATTTCGATTCGCGAATAAATCATGTCTTAAAGTCACAACAAATTTCATGTTTTAATAGGTGTGATTATGATTCAACAGAAGCAAGACTACCATGGAAAACCTGGAAGCACTGGATAGCCGTCTCATCTTATTGTGGGATTCCTCAGCAGTGCGCATCCACGATCCTGCCTTTGAGATTCCAACTCAGGACCTGTCAATCTCGCGTCAGGCGCTTAATCAACTAGACCACGAAATTGAGCGACACATCCACCATTGTCATCAGTGAGTTCTTATCTCAAAACCGCCCCTGGCGCAAGATCGATAGTTCCTGGGTTCGAACCATGCGAGGCGGGGTCGTGGATGCACACTGCTGAGGAGTCCAGCAATAAAACGAAACGGCCTTCCAGTGCTTTCAGGTTTTCCCTGATGGTTTAGCTTCAAATGACTCATGATCTTAACTGTTGAAGTTACTACAATCTCCCCTTCTGATAATATTAAGGTACACAAAAACAAATGCGATTACCACTCTGGTTAATAAATCATTATTATCAGGGTAGGTTAAGTGTAAGGACAAATTGTTTTTTAAACACGTAAAGGGAGTTTCAATTTCCATACAGCTAAGGCTTCAATAAACCTTAGTATACGTCCATGAAGGCTTATGCACAACACTACAAATGCTGACTTGATGTCAACCTTATGACCAGTCTCAATCAAATGCTTCTCAATTGAGGATGATGTCTGTCTATCCTGTGATCTTATTTGATCATTGGAATCCATTTGTTTCTGCAACCATTTTTGGTATGTGTTCACCCAACCTTAATTGCAAATCATGATTGCTCCTCCCTATGTACGTGTTTCAGCACATACATTTAACCTGTTTAGTTTAACTTTCATATAAAAATGTCTTAACAAATATATGTGTGATCAGATTGTTCGAAATGTATTGCGTAAATATATCACATCATTCTGATAAACTACGTCTTCTCATTTCATATCGGAAGTGAATATTATTATTAGAATGTAAATATAAATCCAAAGTAAAGTATAAATTATGTCCTTCAATAAATTAACTAGTTAGCAACTAAATTCATTTTATTCATAGCAAAATAATCATCCAAATATCTATATACATATTAACTGACTCAAATTGATTATAATTTACTTAAGTCAGTTAGTAACAGAATAATTCATATTCTTTCTAATTATGATTTATTAGGATTAATGTTTTAAATGTAAATTCAGTTTCCTTTTTTTATAATTTGGATAGGAAAATTCATTCTTCTTTTTTTAAAATATGGGGATTATGTTCTTCAACAAGAAAGAAATATCATAACTAGTAATAATAGTAATATTGATAATAGGGGTAAGTAAACTAACAAGATAAAATCAAATTCCATTCTGTTTTAATATTATTACTACTACTACTATTACTACCAATACTACTAATAATACTATAACTGGATTGTTTCTATGCATATATCACAAAGATAAATTTATTACTTTAACCAATTCCCATTTATTATTTACTTTGATAATATTTAAGTTTCACTTTTTTATAAAATGTATTTATTCAAGACAGGAAATCAGTCAGTTAAGTCAGTCAGTTCATGTCCCGATTTTTGCTGATAGTGTAGATACTGAATATGAATACTTTCTTTCTTCTCTTTTTTTAAAAAAAATAAATGCTGTAATAAAATAATTTGTTGATACTTACTTTATTATTACTTCCTTGGGTTGTTTGGATAGCAACTGATGAAGGAGATATGGATGGAGGTAACTGAAAATTCAATTGGAAAAGTTTAACATCTGATATAAACCAATATAATTAGTTAAGAATAAATAGCTAATATTGATTAACTAGGAAAATTTAGAAAGGAATATTACAGTTAACAGTTATTTCTACCATTTTATCATAGAATCAACAGTACTAAGTAGAACAGATGTAATGTAGTTGGCAATGCAAGCTATTTGGGATTGCAACACAGGGAATCTAATTCAATTCCTTTTGTTTCAGATGACTACCGTGTTATTCAATTAGCAAATGAATTCAAAAAATCTTCCGATTGTGTATGATTATTTATTTCATTTGCGATGAATAGATTATCTCATGCGAGATGGCTTTCTTAGATTCTAATGTTAGTTATGGTACATCTACTCAATAGAGCCTGTGACATAATAGCTCAATGGGATAATTCATATCATTGCAAACTAAATCAAGATATTTTTCATGTTTGTAATACTTGATCACTGAGTAATACGCATTGTGAAATTTTCTAGTCTTTAGTCCGGATCAAACTTCAATCATCAGGTTTTAAAGTCACTTCCAACCTGAAAAGATCAACATAACGGTACGCTTTGTTTAAGTTTAAATGGTTGAAGGAAATCCGTAAAAATCTCTAAGCATGATTTTTATGATAGTGGACATGTTCAAACAAGACCTAGAAAAACTCCACAAGGAGCTACCTAACTCGTTCAAACTATGTTAGCATTATAACCACAGAGGTTGATGATTATTCTTCCGTTGTACAGAGATGCGTTTTGTACCAATTAGATACTTTGTAATTGATTATATGTTTATCCACGAGAAAATGTTAGAAATGAAATGTAATTGAAAATAACCTATTGGATATCAAGGTAATCAGTTGAAGAAACCATTATACTTATAACTATATTGATAAAAAAACGAAAAAAAGGGGAATATCACTCCGTGATGAATTTAAATCAATCTAACTTACTCATATTAGAGTATATCATAATTTTTCTTTGACCTTATTCTGGAATCCATGTCCTATTGAATTATGCAGGATTTGAAGATCAATAGGAAATCTTTTAAGTCTTATTGAATGGCCTATTAAAACTGATTTAGATCATTTGAGTATAAATTCTGGACTTTTATAACGTGTTACCCTTATCCTCACTCTAAATGATCTCACATAAGAATCAGCAGGTTTTCACTGACCTAGTGCTTATATATTTCATTTACTTATTAATTTTTAATAATGATTACTTCTAAACAAAAAATGAATAAGTAAAGATGGATAATGGCTATTAATGAAATTCACGACGGGCGTTTCGTTCTGTTTAGAACTCGTCAGCTGGATAAACCTGCATCTCAGAGTTGATGTTCAGTACAGGAATTGAACCCAGTACCGTTCGCTTCAAACGTCATCACGCTATCCACTTAGTTAGTGAGTCCTACTTTCTAATTGCTTGTGCAAAGCAGTGAAGTTTAAAATCACTTGGTCTTGTTTGATTGGTTTTTATGATTACAGTTGATTAGTCTCTAATAGGCATATACTCGTTCTTGTCACATTGCTTCGATATTGCCTTAAGTCACAAGTATTGTAAGCAAAGATAGAAAGTGGTTAAAAGTGGAATCCAGGATGTGTGCACATATGCTGATACAAGACTGATCAGTCAGAGTACTAAACATCAAGGGGGAAGACTCAACTAAACCATACCAAGTGAAACAAAATGAATAACCTGAATATATTTTATTTGGAAAAAATTATTTTAATCAAACAAAATATGTTTCCTTCATTAAATAAGTCTAATCTTGCGATTATCAAAATGACATAGTTCTATTATAAACTAGCTATTAACAAACATCAAGAGGTATTTCTTGCAGTTCTGTTTAGAAGCCATGACCAGTGGAGTTCAACCGGGTCTGTCATGAGACAATAACCCACTGAAGACAATGATGAGTATTTCGCTCGGTTTCGTGGATTAGTTGAAGTTAGACATTAAAACCGTCAAATCTCGACCGTCTCAGTGATCTAGTGGTTAAGTGCTCGCACGCGAGACTGATATGTCTTGAGTTCAAATCTCTTGAAGAGGCATTGTAGATGCGCACTGCTGACTACAGTAAGATGGGACGGCCATCCACTGCTTCCATGTTTTCCATAATGATCTAACTTCAATTGACTTATGATCTCAACTATTAAAAAAAACATTATTATTCATTGAATAGATTGAAATCATGAGTCAATTGAAGATAGACCAAAATAGAGAACCTGGAAGCATTAGATGGCCGTTTTGTCCTAATATGGGACCCCTTCGCGGTGCGCACCCACGACGCCGCGAGATTCGAACCCAGGACCTACCAGTCTCGCACCAAGTGCTTAAGTACCACTTAGCTAGTATCCAAAGGTGTTAATGTCTAACTTCAACCAATCCACGAAGTTGCGCTACCGTATACCATTGTCATCAGTGACCTAATATCTCATAACAGTCCTGATTAAACTCCACTGTTAACGGCTTCTCACTTCTAAAAATCTTCACAAATCCCTTGTGATAATTCATTAAATAATTAAAACAATAAATAAATCCACTTACAAATATACGAAATGGTATAGTATGTTGATTACATTTATTAATTAATTTTAATTGAAATGGTGATAAATCATTCATTGTTAAAGTTTGACTAAATATTCCATAAGAATCATCACTTAATACAATTGATGAAATCTCTTCAATTGATTCAATTTTCTTTTTTATTTTTCTTTTAAATTTATTTTTCCATGTATTTTGATTTTGTTTATTTATATTATTATAAATAGGTAATTGTTTATCAATAATTAATGAATGATTTGGCCATAAACATTTTGTATAAATTAATAATTCTTTTTGAAATGTTAATCCTAATACATCTAAATCATCACGACCAAAACGATATGAACATGTGAAGATTAAAAATACATATTCAGTATTCTTTATATCTTGTGATACTAATAGAACTCCATCTATATAATGAAATTTACAATAACAACAAAAAAGAAAAGAAAAGAAAAAAGAAAAAATGCATTTAGTAACAATTATAATAGTTAGTGATTTGAGATCTGATTCTAGATAAGATCATTTCTGATTGCTATTGGAGATATACATATTGTTAATCCTCATCTATAATTATCGATTTAAATAATCGCGTTAGTCAATAATAGAATTGAATAAGTCAAATAATACGATAAAAAAAATTCGAATCGGTATATTTTATACAATCTTTGATTCAAACAAAATATCAGTGAAGTGAAAAGAAGAGAATAAAGTGAAATAACGTGCGATGGAGAAGGTATGTGAGCCAACCCCATTTAGTCAAGCGTTAATCAATATTTATAGTTACATAAAAATAAGTTACAAACATGTGATGAATAATGGGATAAGAAGAGCATACATAGATGCGCTCATATAAAAACAGTCAAGAATGATAAGTGAATAATTAACAAAGTCAAAGTTTGACTCAAGTAGAATGAATAAATTAGACTGTTCGAAAGCTAGATTAAGGTATATGGAATTAACATAATAACCGACACTACAAGTTGATTCAATATCATTAATAAATTACTCTAACACAGTTAATTAATGTTATAATTTGTCGTTTGAATATTTTTTGTCTTGGCTCTTTTAATGCTACTTTTTGTATCTGGTCGTCGCGGATTGTTATGTCGGAAACGCCTATCATTTATACTCGGAACAAGAGACCTCTGCAATTCCCACGATGCAAAATTAAGAACACAAAGACTGGTATACGTAAATATTTATTAACCACAATACACGACGATGACGACTCTAGTAGAAAATACTTTCACTTATATATTGATTGTACACCCATTTTGATGATTAACTAGGATGAAATAACATATATGAAACATACTTAGAGTTATAACAAATCACATACTGAGCATAGTTCATGTCGATCGGATATAAGAATATCGCATATTATACAGAATAAAATATCATACGAGAAAAGAAAACTGAATACTACATGGAGTAATCATTACATTGAATCAAAACGGAAGTAAACTTGAACAATAACTCATAATGAGTAAAATCAGTCGAAAATTGACTTTTCTTTCCATCATATCAATCAAAACAAATAACAAAAAATCTTTTGTTGAAAATTAAATTATCAGTTTAGTATGTACACATGCATAGATACTGGTTCCTTTGTTGAATCATGCTGAATTGTATGAAACTTTATTCAAAGACTTTCTTAAAGAGAACAAGAACAACGATTGGAGTAGAATAATATTTTATTCATTATATTTCGTTAGATTCTCATTAGCTCCTTACAACCTAAATGATTTGAAAATCATTGTTTATCTATCAATCAAACTATTTTGATCATTCTAAAGATTCTTTCAAATGAACAGTTGATAATTGAATTTGAATAAATAATCGAATGTATATTGTTAAGGAATCAAAAAAACCTTCTGGTTTCTATGTATTATTGATTTTTGTTTAGAAAACCGATTTATAAAAAGAAAAAAGAAAACAGTTCCCTGAAAGTGAATTTTAGAAAATGTTTCCAGAATCATTTCTTATTATAATCAGAGAAAGGGGGTTTGTGTATAATATAGAAATTTAATAGTTGAATTCATTAGTCAATTGAAGATAGACCATTGTAGAAAATTTGGAAGCACTGCATGGTTGCTTTGTCCTAGTATGAGACTTTTTAGTAGAGTACATTTACGATCCTGCCTCGTGAGATACGAACCCAGGACCTAACAGTCTTACACACTTATCTGTAGATCACTGAGCCGGTCGGTATCTTTTGGTGTTAATGTCTAACTTCAACTAATGCACGATGTTGCACCACTAGAGATCCAAATGATAAATTTATTAAAAAATAAACTTTTCATTGAAATTATATTAATATGAAAATAAAATGGAAAGTTTTTCTTCCCTTAGATATTACCTATAATTAATTAATGTCTAATACATGTTATATATCAGATGTATTACAGTCTAGTACACTAAAATTTATTGCATAGGTATAATCATGATTATTTAGCTAATGAACAGTACTCATAAACATAGTTTCATTTATTATCTTAAAGAGAACAAGAACAAAGATTGATGCAGAATAGTATGTTATTCATTTTATTTCGTTAGGTTCTCATCAGCCCCTTTACAACCTAAATGATTTGAAAATTAACGTTAATACAGATATTTACATATTTATATATACGACGGTGATTAAAGATGAATATATGTATGATGATCCTGCGAAGATTCCGATATACTGCATTAAGGTCATAAAAATTGCTTGTTTCGGAGAAGTTTGAGAGGGAAAGTTTCAGAACATTTAACTAGTGATTAAGACTCATGGAGTTAACAAGTATTAGGTGTTTGTGTAATTAAGTATGATAATAAAGAAAGATATGAATTGAAATCAGTCAGTTATGAATTAAATAAAAGAGACAATGATGTAATTTAAACTTCAGAAAGAGTTGAATGCCATAATAAATAATAAGCGGGGTTTAATGTTACAAAGGCAAACAAAAATTTATTACTGTCTCATTTTGTATACATAGATCTGGTTTTAGACGTTTGATTTCTATTGCTTCGGCAAATTTCAAAAGGTTGGAATTAGATTGTTTGTTAATCACCTTAAAGGACTTTAGTGCATCGACTTTATATCCTGCATCAAGGAGATATTTTGCAATGACATTACTGAATGTCGTAAATCCATTTCATCTTAGACTTTTTGGAGTATGTTCTTTGAATCGGACACAGACTCGCTGACAATTGTCTTTAACAATACAATTGTGTCTCGAATTTGATTCATATACGCTAATGATTATTGAACATTCAAACTATTAGAATTACATTAGCAATAAGGGTCATATAATCTGTCCAGTTTTGTTTAGACACAGATTAATTTTCATTTAGTCACAATGTAAAAAGCTTTTAACTGAAACTTAAATGTTGGATATTTCTGAATTTGGTTATTTAAACTCAAATATATAGAAGTATATATATTTTGAATTACAGTACATTAATCAAGGGTACAATTGTTATAGAACATTCTAAATCACTAACGTTTCTTAGAATTGTAATAGAATTTGACTTTTTTAATGAAGTACCAACTGCTCAAGTCTCAAATTTAGAATAAAACCGTTGATTACCCCTATTCAGTTCAAAAAAGAATAAACTATACACAAAGACAGTTATAACAGATATGAAAGATCATATTTAATGATTAATATTACTGATTTATTAGTAAAACTGATATTTTGATTAAATCTATATGAATGGTAGTAGAAGAAACAACTCATATGTTCATGTAGTTAACTTCTTAGATTTTTCCAAAACTCAGATTGTAAGTTTAAACTCCACTTTATCAAACTAAGAAAATCTAAGGCCAACACAAAATTTGTTTATTCGAATACCGAGCCCATTTTTCTTCAAATTATTATATACTACTCATATTTTATTTCATTTTTTTGTTTGTTTCACAGAAACATTCATTCATTTCTAAAGATTACCGGATCATTTCAAGAAAACAGTGATTTAGAATGAACAAGCTTATTAATTGAATTATGTTCTTCTAAGGAGAAATAAACGGTTAAACATTATATCATTCAAAATTAATACATAAATTAGATCAGAGCAAAAAATCATATTGTATTTCACATCATGACAGTATATTACAGAATCGCGCGCGAAGCCAGTAGGTCTTGGGTTCGAGCCTCGCACGGTGCGGGATCGTGGATGCGCACTGCTGAGGAATCCCATGCTGGGACGAAACGGCCGTCCAGTGCTTCCAGGTTTTCCATGGTGGTCTAGCTTCAATTGACTCATGAATTCAACCTACGACATCATTTCTCTGCAGGAATATTTTACATCAGAAATAGTAATGTCTGACTAAATGGGAAATCAATTTATTAATAATAATAACAGTAATAATAGTAATAATAATAAAAGAAGCATTGTAGTACAAAGTTGTAATTAGTTCAACAAAACAATAATTTGGCTTTCGATGGCTTCAATTGATTTAATTTTTAAGACCTTACTATAACTTAATAAAAAAACCCATAATTACAACATACCGAAAGAATGTATTTTAAACCATTTACTATATACTTGAATGAAGAAATATAGAAGTATTTTTAGGTTAGAAAACAATTCAGATTAGAGTGTTTATTTATTTATTTTAACACATAGATATTGGTACAAGGAGGCACGTAATACACACGCGCCACACAAATCTCATTTGATATGTGTGAGGGCTGTGATACTGCTCGGGTGCCCAAAATGAAGCAGGTGCTTTTCTTAGAGGGCCACACCCAGAGCCTTCGACCTAAAGGTCTGACCCACAAGGCAGTGGAGCATCGTAAGGAGATGCAGTCCCATGGAAGCCGGTGACCAACAATTGGTTCATACGCAATTCGTTTCCTCAGAATATTGGAGCCCATGTGCACCGTCGGTTTGTAATCGGGGTTTTCCAACCTCCCTAGGTGGACTCTCCATGTCCACCAACCCGGTTAAAGCTTCGGACATTCACTTTTCGTCCTTTCAATTTCGTAAACAAAACCCTCGCCACGAGAAGGCAGTGAGTAGGACTTCCCTGGCAGAGGCTATATACGCGTGGCCATGCGAGAGCATTTCGAGAGGAAGACCGGACTCTCCTCACTCTCGGCCGTCCCAGGGCATATGGGGGCAGATTAGAGTGTAGTTTTTGATCTATAATCTAAATTACTTGTGAAATATAATACTCAAGGTTTTATAAGTAAAGATAGATGGTGGCTAGCATTGAAGTCAAGAATACGTATTTCATTCAATTTAACACTCATCAGCTAGATGTTTCTGCATCCTAGATTTAATATTCACTTCGAGACTCGAATTCAGTACCGTTTGCTTCAATCACCATTGAGTTATCCACTAAGTAGGTGAAAAGCGCGTCCTAGATTCCATTGCTAGTCACTATCTATCTTTGCTTATAGTGTTTATGACTTAGGGA